CCGCCACCGCTGTCGACTCCCCCACGGGCGGTTCAGCGGACATTAAGCCAGGGCGCAGGCCCGTCACGCGCTTGCACGAACTCTCCACTCCATACCCAGCAGTGGAGCCCGTAAAGACGCCACAAGTGACCCCGTCCTGAGAAGGGGTCAAATCCCAGTTCATCGTCCGAGGAATGGCGAAGGACCGCAGCTCGACGATCGAAAACCCTCTCGACATGCTGGGGAGGTAATAATGAACCCCCTCTACCGTGCGGAACCACCGGCTCTCTTTGAGCAACAGGGCAGAAGGGTCGGCCATAGCGTCGCCGAACAAAAATTGAGGCTTCGGCAGCTCTGCCCTGTCCTCATCTGTCAGCGCCGCGTTGGTCGTCAACTCGCGTAATGTCAAGTGATGACCATCCGTGACTCTCTGTACCAGACCATGTGGCTTATCAGCGGTGAATACGGGCACTGGAGCCAAAAAAGGAAATCGAGAAGGTGCCGTATAACTCGTAACCCCGGCGTGGCCAATGGCCACACCCTCCGGGAAAGCCTCATCAGAAAAGGTCGCTGCAACAAGAAATGAAAAGTCAATCGAGACAAAATCCGCTGCAGGGGCAAAATCGCCCATCGAACAGAGGAGGGCGAAATCGCCTATCGAAAGGGGGAACCCATTTCGAACGAGGTCTATCCGTACAGACTATACTCCCCTCTAATGAGAAAGGGCCGAACTCGCCTTGCGAAAAGGGAGTTCACCTCCTTCCCACTGAAAGATTCGCCTGCAGGGACAGTAATCATCCTCTAAAGGCAAATAGGGCAAACTTTGCCCCAAATCGGGGAAGCTACCAAGCATAATGAGCAAAGTCCGACGCCTAAGATCTACAAGGAATCGTCCAACGGACCCATCAACATACCTGGGCGTGACTCCAGAGCACCGGTAGGCATGCCGGCAGAGAGACAGTCGGAGTAACATCCGGGGCCTGCACCCCTCACTTTGCACCTCTTAGATTTCGGAGCCATTGTAGGATGAAGCGGGAATTCTTTCCTTGGAGGTTCCTTTCGAGATTTGAGAGCACGGTGACTCCCAATGGAGGGAAATGGCTGATTTAGAAGGGCGGAGTTACCCACGTGGCCACGATTGCCCTCGGAAGGCGAAAACCCTAACGAACAGGAGACGTGGCCACGATCAAATTCGATGGCCCAGATCACCTTCGGTATATCGAAGGAACCAGGGTTGGCAGTTGCATCCGACGGTCGAGTTCGAAAACCACGGCCACGATGCGTCGCGGGGCGAAACGCACGAAGATCGTGTCGTCAAGTCACGATCGCCACGACCTGATGAGACCACGCCGCTTTAGCTGGGAAGCACAAAGCCCTATCAGCAGACACGCGGCCCATCTCCCGTCAGATCTGGGTCCGCCTCAAAAAAGGAAGAGTTTCGCCTGCAAATACTTGGCATAACCCCGCGAGTTGCACGGAACTTGGCTCCCCAAAGACTAATTTTGCCTGAACGATTCACTCACCACTAAAGGTAAAATTACAAACGAAGCCAATAGAATGACCTCGCTTAAACGGATAAAACCCACGCCACAGACGGCTAAGAGTTAGAACAGAAATCTTAGCATTAAGCCTAAGAGAAACTGTTCAACAACTCATCATACTGAGGGAAATAGTATGGCTAGCCCGATTCAAACGGTAATCGGTAAAGGCACATCAAACCCGTTGATAGCTGAGGATTTGCTAAAAATCCTAAAGGAAATCAAATGCGCTTACTTCGCCAAAAATTTCTTTATTCAAAGTATTCCAGACCACACGCAAGCCGGTTTAGGTCTGAAAACTTTGAAGGGGGTCTTGTAGACGGTAAAAAAATACCTCTATAGGCTTATGGGAGATTCGCTTACGAGAAGAGCTCGCACGCTCAGTTCTATGGCACGGGCCTAAATCTCATAAACATCAGATATGCTCGATTCCAGGTTCGCCTAACGGTCGGCTCGCCAGCACGAGTTAAGATCGATCAGGATGGCGGAAGTTCGCCTTTCACTCAACTCGCCTGCCCGAGTACAGAGTAGAATCCGCCAGCAAACCCCAAGACTGTCAGTATAGCTGGGTATCCGCTACCCCACGTGCTGAGATGGGAGTACTGTACACCTACTTCACCGCCTCTCCTGACCGGAAAGGAGAAAGCGTCGTGCTCAAAGCACGCCGGGCGGTCACGCACAGTACTGGTGATCGGACAGACGCCTCATCGATCTGCGGACTCATAAATGCGGTTCATTAATGCTGGTCAAATCCACTCGGATAGCAGTCGTTCGTGCCTCATATACAAGAATGGGCCTTCCCATCGTAGGTGACAGGACATAAAGCACAATCCCTGGAATGACCATTCATGGTATCGAGGAGCAGCTAGACGTCTCTGAAGAAGAGGTGGTCACATCCCACAATTCAAGGAGGAGTCAAGCTGTCCTTCTTCCATTTAAAAGCCCCTTCCAGCACACTGGAGGAGAGGTCGCAAAACTTGGAGAAAAAGAGTTGAGACCAAGCTGTTAGCAGATCCTTGCATTACAGCACCACCGCCTAGTTCCGAGCTCCGATCGCCGACGAACTAAGCAGACCCGAACTCTATTGGCCCGAGCTTCTACTACGTACTGAAGCTCTCCAGCAACCTCATTCGAACGGTCCAAGGGAAGCAGACTCGACACGAGCATCGAGCGAAGCATCCTGTAGCCACCTAAAGTCCCCACACAAAACAAAGAGGGCTTTCCCTCTGCTTCTGTTGTAAACATTTGATTCGTTAGTTTGTAATAAGCCTTCTTATTAATACAAACAAACACTCCCTGTTTTCGGGAAATCAAATTTTCACCCTACAGCTTCAAGCTCATCTTTCAGGGGGGTAGAATTGCAATAAAAAGGGGAATTTTTTTTCTGGATCTGATCCCTTAATTTATTTTGCAGGTCACCATGTCTCGTATTGCGAGAGGTCAGTCCTCTACCGCGTCGGCTGATGGCGCGCCTCCCTCTTATGCTGGTGAGCTATTTTTGGCATATTTACAAATTAGTCCCTTTTTCCTTGGGAATTTGCAAATTAGTCCTTTTTACCCCTCACGTTGTTCTCCTTGGTGAGGCAATCGGGATGAGCCTTGATTCTCCTTGGTGGGGATCGACGCTTTAAAGATATGTTTTGCTTGGTCAAAACCATATCTCAAAATAAAGGGGGGTGTTTTGACGCTGTATTGTGCCTTATAAGGCAGGGATATGTTTTTTGATATATCCTACCTTATAAGTGCATAATGTGGCCAAATCGTCTCACCCTTTATAAGGCAGTGACTCTATCTTACCCATTCGTAGGATGAGTTCAACTTCCTTTTATAATTGAGACTAACAAATGTTTAAATGTTTGCTTCCAGTGGAATATCCTTCTGGAGCGTTCTCATCTCACGCAGTGTACGGGCGTCGTGGCGAGTATTATTCGACTTCCAACGATTTTTTCCCTATTCCAGTTACTCCTTAGTTTGCTTCGGGCATGTCGACAGAGGTTGCCCAAGTGGTGA